GTGGCGTACCGTGGGTGTCAGCCGCCCGGGGCGGAGGAAAATTTCGGCCCCCTTATTTAGGTATTTCAATTTAAAAGACCAAAATTCAGTTTTGTCACAGAACAAGCAATGAAAAATTCGGTGGTAGTGCAGCGACCTGTTTAAAATAGTTCTATTGGATATTAGTGGTGTATATGAACGCGAATGAATCGTACAAGCAAAAAAAAAAGATCAACAGGTCCGCACGCAGGAATTCCTCGGATGAAAAAGTTACTAGTTCACCTGGCGAGCCGATTCCCGGACTGTCCGGACGATAGCACTATCGTAGGCGCGATGCAAGTATAGATTAGGATGTTTCAAATTTTTACAATATATTATTATTATTTATTATGAAATTTTGCCGCCCCCTAAAAAGTGCCGCCCGGGGCGGGCCGCCCCTACCGCCTCCACTACGGTACGCCACTGATTAATATGTAATTGAGTGAAGTAAATAAAATAATTGTTTACTATGAAATTTATTATAATTCTTACTTTGATATATGAGAAAATAATAACTTAAATTTCAATAACAAAAGTATAACAATAATTTTATAAGTAAAACGAAATAGGTTGATTGAACTCAAGAGAATATTCTAACAATTAGCATTAATTAAAATTCCAAGCAATTAAGTTGTTGGTTTGACCCTTCCAGGAGAACGATCCCATCATCGATCTCGAATTTTCCCATGACTAAAGCATGGAGTCATAAAGTTTCCCAAATCTAGCTTCAAATCTTATTCATGTTTCATAAACATTTGTTTTAAAAATTTCTACTTCGTAGGTAATTTATATGTGTATTAGCCTATAAGAAAGTATTATGTAAGTACTGTACATAGATACTATCTGTGTTATGTGAATTATTTCATGGAAAGCCAAAATTTCGGTTACAACCTGTTTAAATGAGATCCTCGTGGACATCTCGTGCACCCCCAGTTTTTGTTTTCGCTGATACGGACCCTTTGCAGTTCGGAGTCGACCCCTAGAGGTCGATATAGACTACCCAATATTTTTTATTACCCAGGTTACCCAATATTACCCAGTGTTTTTTTAGTTAACATGATTTTAATTCAAGCAAAATTCTGAAGATGATTATTGATGATAAATAATAATTTATCATCAATAATCATCATCAGAATTTTTCAATGCTTCAAAAAATGCATCTCATTTTCTATGTATAAGGAGCTTTTCTTTATATAAATTTTATTGGAACTATATTTCATTTTAATAACCTTCTTTTCATGAATTACTTAAATTTGAAACATGCATCTTCAAAATGAACAGCACAAATTGATGAATGGTTAGTTGGAAATTGTTTTTTTCCATTTTCATAAGCCAAGTCGTTAATGTACTCTTTTGATTCAGTGGTAATCAATAGAATGAGCTTTCTTTACTGTTTGATTTACGGACAGTATTTGAACAACCATAAACACTGGCATGTCTATACATCCATATTGAAGCGTAAGGAAGATTACTTTGTTTGCGTGCCACCACATGACTTTTACCCATAATCCTTTTATTCATAATCCTACAAATATATAAAAAATCAGCCGATTTTTTTTGTTTTGTTTTTGTATATATTAGAACGAACAGCGTGGTTTACCGTCGACTTTCGAATATGGTCTTGCAAACAAGTTCGATGAGACGATCGAAGAACATTAAAATGAAAGGGCTTGTTTGTAATATTGAGGAAGCCTAAACTTGAGTGGGGGAAAAACAAGATTTTAGTATTTTTTGCTTATGTTGACTCCAATGTTTATCTATCCCATGAATAGGGAGTTTCTGTAGTTTCTCTAACTTGGAAAGTCGGTTCTATTGAAGGCCCACCAATGGCCAAGCGGTCTTCGTTCCCCGAACACTGGGGGGTTCGGTCGTGGGTTCGCGCCTCGCTCTGACGGGCTAGCCATGTGGAATTTTCCGGGTTTTCGCCACGTCTGTAACGCCTAAATAGGGGCCAGTTTTCCTTAAAAAGACCTCCCGGAAGGCATCCCCTAGGGCCTAGGCAGATCGCCCAAGTGTTACGTTGCCATAACTCAAACAGACAGTTCTATTGAAGTCTAAATTACTCGCCAGAAGTTGAAGTTCAGTTTAGACTGAAGAATGGCGAGATTGTTGATTATTTGAAGATGATACAAGATGTCGTTTCCTGATTTCCCTTCGGGAATTGTCAATTTAACTGACAATATGGAAACTCTCACGAGTCAGTATTTGAAAAACAATTTACTGCAGTGTGATAACTGGAGCTTGTTTATTAGGTCTCTATAAGGGTCATAAATTAGAAGGACTGGAGTTACTAGTTTTGTAATGGTGGTTGAGAAAAACGCGTTTTTATCTTTTGTCTATTTTTAAATGTTTGAAAGATATATAAAATATTGTTTGTTTTTAATTGCTCAAGATTAACAGATAATTTCTAGAACCAGACACTTTACCTATACTTATGCGTTGTCGTCTAACGTCTCCGCGTGTTTAAACACATTTAGTTCTGTTCGTTTTGTTGTAGGCTTCAATGTTTTTCAAAATGGCTATGCTTGTAATATGGAATCTTATGGCGCTAGTAATATCGAACCGGGATCCAAATTACGTAAAACGGCTCACCACTTAGTGGCAAGAAACAGAATTCAGATCCTTCGTCTCTACAAAGAAGCTTCCAGAGAAAATAGATCGTGTATGATGTGACTTTTGCAGATAGACGAAAGAAAAATCAAAATAAACGTTTCCTCCGAATTTTTTAGTATTATTTTAAGTCTACTAAGAAAACAAAGTATTGTATTGAGTTTAATACAATAATTTTTAATATATAAAATTCTTATTCATTTTGTGAGTTTGTTTTAATTTCTTATACTTCAAAAATAATAATGTCCATATTACTAGCACATTGTGACTCGTGAGTCAATTGTAATTTTTTTCATTATTAAGTTTTTTGTAAATAAACAAGTTTTTTCGATTATGTAAGTTTTTTGTAAGTGTAAAATTGTAAATTCAAATTAGGGATGGATAGTCAATAGAATAAGAAAGTACCAGAAATTAAAAAATTGAGCTTACAGCTCATAATAAATCGCTCAAAAACAGAGTAGGGTTCCATATTACCACCTTCTGTACAAAATGTTATGACAACTATAGGCTAATATTGTGTATATAATTGTGAAATGAACATTTGTTGCGTAACATATTCATTGACTACATAAATTCAGAAGAACCTGGAAATTTTTGAAGCCGAAAACGACTATGAAAGTACTTTGGGAAGCAAAAAATCAAAATCAAAAAATATGTTTACACGCTAACCTTCATATTTTAGTTGCTTAAATTATGTTTACCGAAAGAAATTAAAAATCCATATTATATTTGGATATACATAAGAAATTAGATAATTTGATATACAGTAAAACCTATCTAAACAGAAAGATTTTCCACGAAAGCTGAAACCTTTCTTGAACACAATTAAACGTAAGCATTTGATTTGAAATTAAACGTCTCTAAAACGAGCAGTTAAAGAGAGTCCTCCGACCGCGAACAATTCAATTTATGTTTGGAGATTCCCCGTTGTATAGTGTAAGTAATTGTGGTCAGGTTTACCTATTAATTAAAATGATTTTTCTAAGCTACGAAAGGCAAAATCTCCGGAACAGGTGGTCGTCTTAGGTGGGTTTTACTGTATATAATATGGAGAAAACGTATCTGATATAGTTTTATTTACGAATTTAGTATAAAGTGTTGCTGGGAGTATTTTGTAATAAAACTTCGAATTCCGAGTCGGAAACTGCGCAAAGGCAAGTTTCGAGACCTCTTCTTCCGGAACATATTAGTACGGGATCGTACGAATCCACGGGAATTCAGGTTTGTAATAATTTCGTTTATAAAATGGATTCGTTGTCTTCATATCCGGTTACAAATTTCGCCATTTGTGTTTAATAGGAAAGAAGTTTTCTAATGAAAAACACTGCGTCGTGTTCGAGTAAATTATCCTCCACGCCATTATTTTTACCCGGAAGAATATTGCACCTGACCGAAGTGAACGGGAGGTAAGAAATGTTTTATATAATTATAGATTCTTCCTTTCGAATACTTACTATTATTATGGAATGTAGTTACAGAGCAAAGTGGGTATCGGCAGAGTTTTTCAATCAGATCATCATCAGCCCCAACATGATCCACGACCACATGCCCAACGTCGTCTACAAATCACTCTTGCAGTTGACGCGCAATAGCAACCAGTTCTTGCCCTGATTCCATTTAAAAGTGTGATAAAAAGGCACTAGACGAACACCATTCTACTTAGGAGAACATCTTAAAAACCATGTTTAGTTACTTGTCAGAAAACAAAATTTACGCTCTTATCTGGTTACCAGCACCTTTGGAAATCGTGACTTTTGGTTCTTATCTCGAAGCATACGTCTTTTGTTTGGACGAAATTATCCTAATTTATAGAAGTCTCTTTTGTCGTCATTATTAATTCCTCTAGAATCCGATCAAAAACACGAGATTGAAAATCTTTACGTGAAACGAATTGAGAGTCTTTCAATTAGGTGCCTCCGTACGTTTCTAAAAATTTCCTTTCGAATTTCCCGTCCGGATTTCCTCCTCTTTATTTTAATTAAGGAATGTTCTGTGTGTGAGAATATTAGAAATCCAATAAACATCAGGGTATTTTTCTCAGGATTAATGTACTTCGTTTCTCCGTTTTCTTTTCAAATGATGACTTTTTCCTCTTAAAAGATTTACGTGAAAATAATAAGTCCAAAATAACAAGCAATTCTTTACTCGCATTCGAGTCTTCCATTTCTGCTGGTAGCAAACATTTTAAACGTCTGTCACTATGCAATTTGGTAGTCATAAAATATTTATTTCGCATCGTCCTTTTAAATTCTTTTCATTTGCTGCGTATTACAAAATCTCTAGCCTTTTATCTAGTCCAAGAGCTAAATTTCATTATAATTATCGTTAACCTCCCCGTTTAATTTAATTATACATTGAGGTTTGATTTTATTTTTGATGGCATAAATCTATTCCACGTCTATAAATGATACTCAGTACCTGACTCGATATCTACTCAAATGAATTCTACGCCTTAGTGTCGAAATCAGAGCCGTCGAGAGCTAGTGTGGGCCCCTTTTGCCGCGTAGAATGTTTCTTTAATAATAAGAGCGAGTCTTTGTTTTAGTTTTATAAGGGTAGGAACTGTTACAGACCCCAAATGTTTCTTTGGGCCCTGGGAAAACACCCCATATCCTCCCCTCTCTCGACGGCTCTGGTCGAAATAACTTTACGATTATTTGATTTTTGATCTTCGCAAAAAATAAATAAATCGGCGAGCGCAAAATTCTCTAAGAAGATTGATTAATTTATATTTTCTCGACGATAATTTAGTTGATTTCCGAAAAAACAATTGTTAATTAAAATTTAGGAAATGCTCGTTATAGACGATGGTCGTAACGGTTTATACTTATTTTTACAAAACTGTAGTAACGTCTCCGTACAGAACAACCTATTTTAGTCGAGTCATTGAAAACCCCGTTTAAAAGGAAATAATAGAGATATTTTTATGGAAATGACTTTGCACTAGCTTCGACGGCGTAGGTTATAAAACAAAATATATTTAATATATAAATCTTACTTTCGGAATGATTTAATTTTATTGATATAAACATATTTTAGGAAAAGATCTATGTATTGTATAGCCTATTTATAGTGTAAATAATTGCCATCGTTGTTTTCGAATAGTTAAACATTCCGAAGATATTTTCGACGGTCGTGTTTTACATAGAATGTGTGTAGACGTCGAATTTCCCTCGTGTTATTTTTCTCTTTATTTTTCCCTAGACACGAAAATTCCCTGCTTCTGTTTTCATCACGCTACACCGCCATTAATAATAATAGAAAATTGTCCGTTTTCTTCGCTTTGTACAATTTTTTTCAAACATAAAATTTCGAATCGCCGCTACAAAATTTAAAAAATCGGATCGAACTTGGAAGTCGATGGGTACGACTAATTTCAACGTTTTCATCTCGATACTAAAAGGACGAAAAAACCTAGTTATTTCGGAATAGAAATACGCGATTACCTTCTAATTCTCTTAGATTTAAAGAATTGTTTTTGTCTCGGAAAAATTTCAAATACGGGTTCAAATCACGATTCACTACTAAAATCTACTTTTAGCAAGTAATGGCCACACTGACCGCACCTTCACACTATAAAGACCAGATAGGGGAACTAATCGGCCATCGTCAAAATTCCTATTTCGGGTCACAGTTAGCTAGTCACTCGCAAATTAAAACTAATAGGAACGTAAATAAAAATTTAAAAAATTATTCCTATAGACAAACCGAAAGAAAATATCATGTATAGAAATTAATTTTTTAATATTTTTAATTTTGCTCCGCACGCGTAGACCGTATCTTTTATCCAATCGTTGTGTATATATTTTTTATATAGTGTATATATGTGTTATTAGGTAGCCAATTAAATCCGTTTGTTTTTATTACCAGTTTTACGTTGTTATTATTTACGCCCGAAATGAAATTATTCGCTTGGTTTATTGTTATCTCTACCATTGTTAATTTAGTAATAAAGAGTGTATATTTGATAGCTCTTCTACCGAATTTGTCTTTGATGTTTCAATCACGCTTATTACTTATATAAATTAGACGATTTTTGCTAGGAAGAAGGAAAAAATCAATTACGGGAACTTGGCAAGATTTAAAGCATTTGCAAGCACTTTTCTTTGGGTGCGAATTGGTGATGCGTAACTTTAACCCGGAGGGGCCCCCAGGCATACAACTGTTTTCAAATGACGCACGGTGATGTAGATAAAACGAGCAATTATTTATTGCGACGTCACAATTTTTAATCAAAGTTTTAATTTATTATTTAAAATACATTATATACTCTCTACCTCAAATTAGTACTGTAGTTTTTGCCCCTGTACATCATACTTTTCCGTTAGCGATGGAGTTGTGCCGATATCACTGTTTTCGGGGAAAAGTTTTGAATCGAAATAAAGTGACTTCCGGTTTGCGACGGAAGTTCGTATATAGTTAATCGGGACCTCCCGCTCCAAATCATCCCGTATCTAGTCTCGTCTTTCGTCTATTTAACTCCGTTCTCGAGATTAAGGAAAGACGGACGGACGGACGACAGTGGGAATTTATAGGTCTGCAATTTCAAATTGCAGCCCAATGTACTGTACTGTACGTACCGTTATTAAATGTGCGCAAATTCGGCAATACGAAATTATAATAAAATTTATGTATTATTATTTAAGTGAAATACATTTAATGTAAGTATATTTAGATATTCCTATTAACAGAAAAATATTTTACTAAAATTGGAGGTGTGATGAATGATAGAGAAACCTAGATTTAGCGTGAAAAACGTTCGGTCTCGACATAGTTACAGAACTACTGATCTACAGTACAGTATTTTAGACTGCCTTGCGCGTAAAATGGGCAAAATTTTCCTATCCTTTGTTTCCAAAGCCTTTAAGTGTTCGATGGATTAAATATTTCCATCGGGATCATTTAAAAAATACTACGCTTATTTTCAGTACCATCGTTTCGTAGGATTCCTATATCCTTTAACTTGTCAAACGATGTTCTTACAGTTTCATTTTCATTCAGGAGGGCCAAGAGGGACACCGTCAACTGGGCTACCTCTAACTAGGCGCCGGACATCTGCGCGATAAAATAAACAGATGAATAATAGACAAAATACAAAATGTTTTTTTAAATAAAAATCACCATTCTTTTCTATTGATCCGGTAAATTCAAATACATAATATATTTTTAAGAAACGAGTTAAAAGAACGATTTTGTAATTAAACATACAGTAGAGCGTCGTTTATCCGAACGAATTCCAGTCGACAAATTTAAATTGTCGCCAGTGCTGTGGCGCTGTAATCTTTGGCTATGTCTTCGGTTACTCAAATATTTTACGTTTTTGATACTAAATTAACTTCTGAAGTATAATTTTTTATTGTTTTTATATTTTTCAATATATTTATTTTGTTTGTACAAAATAAAAAAATAATTTTTAACGATACAATAGTCTTCGTTAGGCTTAACATCGACGAAAATTCAACGCGAAGCGACA